GCAACCTTTAATAGGAGGATACCTTTACCTAATAAAAAAAAAACATGTTTGGCTTCACTTATTAATAGTAAACATAGATTGCACAAGGAAAAAAAAAATGAAGCACACTTATCTATTTCTACAAGGCTTGTGAATGCTCACAGCATACCTGCAATATTCTCTATAAAATGTCAATTCTGTCCCTAATAACCTAGATGAAAAGACAACATTCGTCCTTTCCAGCTAGAGATGTAATTTCAACCTTTGGTCTTTATCAACACCCCACCTCATCATGTTAACATGGTCCAATTGATTTCTGTTGATTCTGAGCTGCTGTTTCACCAAGGTAATATAAGTCAATAACTCAACTCATCATTTTCAAATACTGGGCCATTTATGTCAAAAGATGGGGAATAAGAAACAAGCAGCGTAACGCTTTCTAACTTAGTAGTAAAACCATCGGCTTATTATAATTAGAGTTACAACAATTTATTTACCGAAGGGATTAGAAACAATTAATGAACCCACCATAGAATATCCTATGTATGTGCTATTAAGCAGTTGATTTGCGCAAATAATTGTCCAGTGCTTTAGCAAGCTCCAAACTTGATTTATGGAAGTTCATGGAAGACATCTGAGACATTTATTCATATATATATAAGACTTCAAACATGTGCATCTTTGAGATCAAGACACAAACAAACCAATTCAAACTCAACGAATCCACCACCATTATTCGCAGTTTGAATGGAACATGTTCAACAAACTTACAAGCTCCTATGTATATAAGCGAGCTCTTATTATTAACGATACAATCACTCTTTAGTATACTCATATACTAGCTAGCTAGCCTTTCATGGCGACTAGTTCATAACCTGTGAAGATACTTTATTATTAATGGTGGTAATGGCAACGCCTGGGAATGGTGAAAACGATTCGAGGGTCTATGCCTGAATACTTCCAAGTGTCGGAAATGATGATGGCATAGAAACATGCCTCAGAAATTTGGAAGAGAGGCTCGCAGCATTTTGGAGAGACAGGAACGGTTAAGTCAGTTGCAGGTTTCTTACAGTGACGAAGAACATGTGTGAGCATTCTATCTGGACTGAACTTCCCACACACTCCATACCCATCAGCTTCAACCCCAGCAATGGCCACTATCGCCAAAAGCAGCACCAAGCAAATCACCTTCTTCATCTTTGTTGGTTTCCTCTGATTAACTTGAACAAGAAAGCTATGTGTGTTTGTATTTCACAGATTCGGCTCTGTCTCGAACTGTGTATATGTAGGCAGTAGCAGCACCTTGGAATGAAGTGACCTTGTTTCCAAAGTCTTAATCCTCTGGCTTTAATTTACAAGTTTTGGAATCTATGCTTATTGATTCCCAAGGAGGAAAGAAGTTGTTGATGATATTTGGAAATCTCAGGACTAACAGACATGAAGCGCGCACATGGGATAGCCAGAAGCTGGAGTTTTATATTGTTGACTGCTCCCGGTTATTGTTATCAAAACTATATATTGGCCAAATGAAAACTATATACTCCTCCAGTAAAACTTATTTAACTAAATTAATTAGATTAAAAAAGTTAGGTAAGTTAGTTAATTATGAGAAACATGAAATGTTATTCTTAAAATACCATACTCATCTTCCTCAATATTCTCCCCCTCTCCTACTTGATTATAGTTAAGGGAGTATCAATAAAGCTAATTTAAAAAAAATTGATAAATATGAAAAATATATCTTACAGTTATGATCAAAATCAACTCAATAATTAAGTCTTTTATTAAGAACTGGGGTAGTATATGAGTTGGTTAATTTATTCCATTGTCTGCTAATTTCCTTCGAGTCAATGGGCTCAACACTATTAAACTATTTCACTTTTGATTCTGTTTTCTCACATAGGAGGTCAAGTTTTCTGGTTCACGGACATAAACTAATACTCCTCCAATCCTTAATACTAGACTTAAGTATTGAATTGATCTTGATTCTAAATATGACCTATTCCTCAGATGTATCATTTTGTTCCTAAATTATTCCTATTGATACTTCATCAACCTTAATCAAGTAAGAGAGGGTGGAAAGATATTAAGAAAGATAATTATTGCGTTTTAGAAAAAACATGTCATATTTTTTATAATTAACTAACTCATCTAACTTTTTTAATCTAATCAAATTAACGAAATAGGTCTTACATTATATCAGAGGATCATTTCTCAATAGATTGATTCAAATTTGATAAAAATTCAACACAACTAGGTATATATATTGCTAACTTGAGCACCAGGACCTTACGCTCATGTTTGAGTAGCCTAGATAACCACAATTCAATCAAATCATGCATTGAAATAAATTAATAATGTTAAGAATAGGATTGAAATAATCCGGGGACAGTTAAAGAAGGAGAAAGCCAACACTTATTCTTTTTACCCAAGACACTATAAAAATGGATAATTCTGGTCTCTGGTAATCTGTTCTCCTCTATGGGAAAATATTTAAGTGTAGATTTTTAAGCGCTTATATAATATGCTCTAATAAAAATATATTGTGTGCTTTTATTAAATTATTATCACAACAAATTTAATTTTCATTAACTTAAAAATCCATACATTTTTTCTTCTGTTTTGAAGAAGACCAGTACTTGGTTAACTTGATATATGTTACCTTGCGACTTTGTTTAATGAAAATTGAGCCCATGTCCCTAATTAATTCAACCACCGCTAGTTGAATCAGATAAATTAACTGCACTTTTCTACAAAGATATCTTAACTATGACATTTTTTGCCAACCTTAACTGTGCAATTACTAATAAATAAATTGTTAAAATTAACAGGGAAAATTCAGTATTCACGGATAGATTTTGAAGTATTTATCAAAGGCTCCAATAAAAGTGAAATATTATATAATGTATTTTCTTATAAGAAATAAAATTATTTCATATAGAATTTTTTTTTCATCATCCATTTTTGAACTCCTAATCTTCGTATTAATATTCATAATTTTCTTCTTAAATTTGAAACAGGTAGTAAATTTGATAAAGGAGGCCAATATTTTATCCGAGATTGGTCGATCCTTGAAAAATAAAATTCATAATGCTACATTATTATGTATGGGTGTTAAATAGAGTTGAAATCAAACCGGGGCACATATAGGCAATAACTCAACTAATTTTTTTCATGCAGTTAATTGATGTTTAATATTGAAAGTAACATTTGAGTATTATTTGATACATAAGCCTAGTTCTTCCATTTGAATTCAAACAAGAAACGCTAGATAATTTCGTCACCCTATTGGTATAATTAAGAGAAAAACAGTCCACTTATATATGAAACCCAATCACTACAAAAAAATTGACTTTCAGTGACGACAAAAAGTCGTCGCTGAAAAGTCGTTGCTGTAGCAATCACGGTTGAAAACTTTTAGCGGTGACAAAAAAAGTCGCCGCTGAAAGTTCGCCGTTGAAAGTTTTAGAAATTTCCACAATGACAAATAGCTTGTTTTGGCAGCGACCTTATTGTCACCGCTAAAAGAACTTTTGGTGGCAACCGCCGCCAAAAGTGACTTTCAAAGGCCACTTTTTTGTTGCTGCTGAAAATGATGCCCAAGAAAAATTGGCTTTACTGATGCCACGTCATCACCGTCGATGCCCTGTCATTACTGGCTACCTCCACCTCATCACTGCTGGTCACCACATCATCACCGACAGGATGCCATATCACCACTAGCCACCTCCATGTCATCATCGGCCACCTCCATGTCATTGCCACACCACCACTCTCATGCCACGTCACCCCTCCTTGCCACGTTACCGCTCAAATATTTTCACCTTAAATGCGTCTTCTTCAGAGTTCGAATTTGTGACCACCTCCTTTTGTGTCCAATCGTCCTGCCATTGAGTTGGACTGAATTTGTTTATTATTATTGTAAAATAAAATATAATCCTCTGGTCCTTAATATATGACCCAATTGTTGAGTTGCTTTTGGTCCTAAATATAAGACTCATTGCTTATATTTATCAATTTTCTCTAAATTGTCCCTATAGATACTCCATCAACTATAATCAAGTAGAAGAGGGAGAGAGGGTATTAAGAAATATGATTATGGTGTTTTAGGAAAAATGTGTTATATTTCTTATAGTTAACTAACTTACCTAACTTCCTTAATCTAGTCAAATTAGTTAAATGAGTCTTATATTAAGGATTGGAGGAGTATATTATTAGATTATACTTTTCTAATATCACCGCTAAAAGTCAGACCTTCAGTGATGACACTAATAGTCGCCACTAAAAGTCTACTTTCAACGGCAATCCTAACAAGTCACCGCTGAAAGTACACCTTTCAGCGGCGACCCTAACAAGTCACCTCTAAAAGTACACCTTTTAGCAGTGAAAAACAAACTACAAAAGTGGACTTTCAGCGGCGACAAAAAAATTGCCACAGATAGTAGACTTTCAACGACAATTTTTTAGTATCATTGCTAAAAGTAGATTTTTTTGTCGCCGCCGAAAGTTTTACTTTTAGGGGCGACTTTTTATTGTCGTTGTTGAAAGTGGACTTTCAATGGCAACTTTTTTTGTCGCCGTCAAAAGTCATCGTCTAAAGTTTATTTTTTTTGTGGTGAATACATCTTTGAGATTAAAACAAAAACACAAACCAGTTCAAACTCAACGAATCAAACACTATTCGCAGCTTGAACGAAAGGAAACATGTAATCTCATTAATAATGAACTACTATAATGAGCACTTGTTAAAGACACAGAGTCACACACTTTATTACAGTAGCTTGGTAGGTGACTAGTAGTTCATAAGGCTTGTGTCAGTGCACTAGTGGGGGCGATGAATGATATGGCAACGTCTTGGAATGGTCGAGGCGATGTGATGGTTGATGTCTGAATATTTCCAAGCATCAAAATTGATGAAAGCATCGAAGCATTCTTTTAAAATTTAAGAGAGAGGCCCGCAGCATTTTGCAGAGACAGGAACAGTTAAGTCTTCTAATTTGCTGGTTTTTCATAGTGACGAAGAACATATGTGAGCATTCTAATATGGACTGAACTTCCCACACACTCCATAGCCATGAGCTTCAACACCTGCAATGGCCAGCCAGAAGCAGAGCCAAGTAAATGAACTTCTTCTTCTTTGGTATAGTTTCCTCTGATTTTCTTCAACTTGAACAAGGAAGCTATCGGTGTGTTTTGTATTTGATGGCTTCTTCACTGTCTTGAACTGTGGATAAATAGGCAGTAGAAGCACTTTGGAATGAACAAACCACTTTCTCGAAGTCTAAAACCATTGGCTTTACAAGCTGGAAACTTCGGATCTCTGAATTTACGCATATGGATATGCAGAAGGCTAGAGTTTTAAATTGTGATCACTGCTCCTAGTTATTGTGAAAACTATATGAATTGATTATTTTATTCTTTCGCCTAAGCCTTCGTTATTCATCACTGGGCTCATCATTGTTAAAACAAATCACTTTTGAGTCTTTCTTTATGAAGTCAAAGTTTCGGCATGGCAGTAAATATTCTCCCTAAGTTCATGCACAAAACTTGAAATATTTTTCCCTTATTAAATGTACATGCAACGTACCAAATAAGACTTCAACACAAGAAAGATAGAATTAATGATGATTGATAACTCAAGTGCAAGGAACAAGCATCTGGTATACGAGCTCGTGTTTGAGTAGCTTAGCCACAACTCATCAATAAGATTATTGGAGTAAATGATAAGAATGGGAATGAAACAATCCAGAGACTATATTAAAGATGGAGGAGGCTGACAAATTAAAAACGTATTCTGTAGCAATCTGTTATTTTTCATTGTAATTAGTAATTGTCTTGAGACTTGGGAAGCTGGACTTGTGAACTACATCTGCTTGCAGGAAGAATAGGGCACTCAACAAAGTCTGACCCAGAAGTGTCCACGACAGATAAACTTGATAAAGCTGGCTGTTGTGTCTTGAATCCACATTGCACTCAATTCCAGGAGTAAACCCAACGCCCTTCTTTATAGCCTCTTTAATTCTCTCTAAACTGTACAATCCATCGTCAGCTTTAATCCCTGGAAAAGAAAATCCAATTCCTCTCAATGCTTGCAACCAGATTTTGCCATATTCATCATCTTTCACCTCATTAATTATCATCAGAGATGATAACAAAACTAAGATATGACCAAGTGTTAATTCTAACTAGAATGTACCTGCCTGGTTGCGGATGTTGAGCAGGTTGGCTTCCTGCTTGAGTTTAAGAGCAGTTTCAAAGTAGTCACGCTGATCAAGCTCAGATTCTTTTCCGTACTACCCATGCTACCAAAGACACCTTCCTTTTCTCTTCCGTACTTCCTAGGCTAAGCTTATCAAAGTTTTTGCAGATGGTAGGGGGCAGAAGAGACGTTCGCATGACATAATTTGGGATGGTCGATGTCACAGAGGAAATCAAAGTGGATTCACCTGCCAGGGACAGAGAATTAGTTTTCCAATTAGAAAGCCTTGCTTTGACTTTATCCATGGTGTCCTGACAGGTCTCTATGCCAACTCTCTTGTGATGTAGGGGAGTGCCCAAGTATTTCCCCAGATTAGTTGTTTGATTAAAACCCAAACATCTACTAAACTCAGAGCATCTATTATGATTCACATTAGAGGAGAAGTAAACTCGAGTTTTAGAAATACTAACCTTAAGCCCAGAACTTGCGCAGAAGGAATGAAGACAGTTATTGATCAACTCAGCTTGTTGCAAGGAGGCTTCAGCAAATAAAAGGATATTATACGCAAAAAACAAATGAGATAGCAAGGGGGGCCATTCTTAGTGAGTCTGATTGGTCTCCACTCATTGCCTTCCATCTTTTCTTGAGTCAAGTGGGTCAATTTCTCTATGCAAATGACAAACATGTAAGGAGAGATAGGATTTCCTTGTTGTACTCCTCTAGAAGAGTGAAAAGATTCTGCCTTGCTGCCATTCCAGAGGAGCTGGAGTTCAGCCATGGTGATACTCATATTAATAATCCTTACAAAGTGTTCCGAGAGGTTCAGCTCATTCAAACAATTTTTAACAAAGTTCTAGTTAACCTGATTGTAAGCTTTTTCAAGATCAATCTTGATAGCTAAATAAACCCTCTTTCCTTTCATAGTTTGCATATAGTGCATGACTTCCTAAGTAATGATAATATTATCAAAACTATGATGTCCCGAAACAAAGCCACATTGATTAGCAGATATAATTTGGGACATAAAGTTCTTCATCCTGTTTGCCAAAATTTTTGTTACTACCTTATAGACCACATTACAGAGACTTATAGGGCATAAATCTTTGAAATTTTTTGGAGGGTCTTTTTTGGGAATAAGAACAATCAAGGTCCCATTGATCTCACAAATAGATTGGGGATTGGCAAATAAAAACTTCACAAATCTCACAATCTAACAATATCCCATTGATGCTAGAAGAATAAAGCATTGAAGCCATCCAACCCTGGTGATTTTAAGGGGCCCGTACTAAAGAGAGCACTTTTAATTTCAAGTTCATCAACATCACTGGCACAGCACCTCGACTGAATATCATCAATGGCCGGATATGAAAGTCCACAAGATAGAGCATCTCAAATCGATGTGTCTTCTTGGAAAAGAGAAGAGAAGAATAACGTGGCTTTATGCTTTATTTCCCCTGTGTTATAGCTCCAACTACCATCATCAAGGAAAATTGCATCTACTTGGTTAGTTTTCCTACGTCCATTTGCAAAGGAATGGAAGAACTTGGTGTTCTTGTCTCTGTGTACATTCCAATTTAATCATGCTTTTTAAGCCCAGAGCAGGGATTCTTGTGCAATAACTCCTTCAAGCTCCTTGCAGATCTCAACTTGGAGTTTGTCATAATAATTATTGTTATTCCCATGAGCCAGAGCCCTTGTTACCCCTTCAAGCTGTTGCAAGAGCTTGTTCTTTCGTCCCTGGATATAACCAAATACGTTTTCATTCCACACACAACATGCATCAGTAAATTGCGTGAGGTTGGGGTTCCAGTCCATATCATTATTCCATTGGTCTTTAACAAATTCATTAAAGTTATCATGAAGGACCCATGACTTAATAAAACGAAAAGGACGCTATGACTGTTCTCTGCACAGGTCAAGATGAAGAAGAATGGGGCAATGGTTAGATTTATAATGTGGAAGATGTGTTACCTTAGCATGAGGAAAGAGTTGACACCATGCTTTATTAGCAAGATAACAGTATAACCGAGCTTTCATCGTGCCCCATTTCCATGTGAATAGTGGCCCACCAAAGCCCAAGTCTTGCACATTACACCCTTCATACCATCTATAAAAGTCCCTATCAACCGAGACCCTATATGAGGAAGAAGATCTTCTCTCAGTTTCAAATAAGGTTGCGTTGAAGTCACCACCAAGGATCTAAGGTTCCTGCATGGTGTTGTCAACGCGCTGAAGTTCATGCCAAAGACCTCGCCTAGCCACAATATTTGGACTAGCATAAATTATGGCAACAACAAAGATGCCATACAACACCGACTCCCTCTGCTGTACCCATCCAACTCAATAAAAGTGAAGTCCTGAAATCCCAAGTGTCCTCCTATACACTTTTCTGTTTTTTGTTTGTCTGAACGAGTTTCCACTAGTGCAAGGAAGTCAAGTTGATAGTATTTCATTGTTTCATGCACTAAGCTAGGAAATGTCTTTCCACCTGTGCTTCTTGAGTTCCATATCATGAAATTCATAGAGAAACAATGAGATTATTTGATATTGTTTTGTTGTCCTCCAGCTGGACATTATCCACTATAGCCAACAAATTATTAATATTGGTTGTCAACTCATTGGGGGGGGGGGAGACTCCTGTAATAATCCTTAAAGGCGTAAAGTTTGTCGCGCTAAGATGGTTTGGTTTAGGGGGCAGTGAGGTATCCATACAATCATATCCTATCATAGTTATTCTTTTTATGGTGTTTGGGACCTGGGGCTGGTCAGGGGCTTCTTTTTCGAAGTGCGGTAAACGGATTGGCCGAGTTAATGAGCATGTCCTTTGGAGCCTGGCCATTTTTCAGTTTTGGATTGGGCTTATTCTCTTTTCCACGTGCTTTGGGCTTATCATCAGTTTTCCATTTTGAACCTACCTTGACCCAAGTGCCAGAATTTATCACATCCTTTCCAAAGTTCCTTCTTCTAACTGATTCCATATTAGCTGATTTCTCGGTCATAATCTCCGTCCTTCACTCATCCCTCTGCTTCATCCTAGACTGATTTGTTGCCCGATTTCCTTCGCCAGATCCATTCTTATCCGCCCCATTAACTCGCCTCCAAAAATCTCGTTCCACCAGCATCTGCAGCCTTAGGTGGCTGTCAATTTTTTCTGGTGTGTTTCTATTCGACAGTGTTTGAGCACAACTGGATACTCTTTCTGTAACACCTTACATAATTATATCTATATACCCGATAAAATATTTCATTTAAAAATCTACATATTACTAATACTCCAAGCAAGTCATAATTTCAAAATATTTCTGACATAATAACAAATTAAATTATCAAAACCTTATAGTCATGACGAATAAAAATATAACACAGCATATGCTTGAGGAATATAGAAGCCTTCACGGCTCACTCTATTGGTGCCTTCCCTTAATTCCTACTAGATCCTTCACCTGAAAATTGTTAATATAAGGGGTGAGATCAAACGTCTTAGTAATGATTGAAATTCTAACATATACAAACAAACCATATATGATAAACTAAAAATCCATTTATATGTGTGTGTATATGTGTGTGTGTGTGTGTGTGTATATATATATATATATATAAATCACGGATTTGATATATTTAACTCAATTTCATTATTGATTCAACAATATACCAATATCATTTTTTTCAATATATCTAAAAATAATGCAATATGCTGCCTCCCTTATATCACTGTCCATCCTTATACCGCTGACTAGAGCCATAGGCTAACACATAGTCTAATAGGAACTAATTCATTTTACTGAATTATTCCAAGCTCACCAATACTAGAGATATATCCAGCCAAAGATATAGAGCTCAAGCTCGAATTATGGCTCCCGTCCTTTGCAAATAAAATAAGGAGGTGTCA